TTTATCGTCAATCATTGCCTTATCGTCAATCATTGCTTTATCGTCAATCATTGCCTTATCGTCAATAATTGCTTTATCGTCAATCATTGCCTTATCGTCAATCATTGCTTAATTGTGTATCTCAACATGGCACTCGTTCTCACTGCTGCACGTGTGCTCTTGTTATAGATGCGTCTGCAGATTCAGGCCTGGTCTCTATTGAGGAGATAAACGTTGGGAGCAAGGAGACCGAAGATACACCTGAAGATATCAGTGCCGCCTTTTCCGAGGCCATGGCTGTAAGTTCGTGATGCTGGTTACTTCAGATAAATTGATTACTTTTATAAGTTATCATGAATTGATTACTTTTATAAGTTATCATGTATGCTTTTGTTTTATCTATTATAATGTTTTTTTATTGTTTTACTGAATGTCAAATATCATTAATATGATGCCGTAATGATTTATAATTTTACTTCAATTTAAATTTATCTTGATTTTTAAACTCATGTTTCTTCTTCTTTTTGTGAATGAATGAACCATAATGATAAAGTCTTTATGTACTTTTGATATCTTTTTACTGCGCGTGATAGATATACTCCATAGCATTATTCCCCTATGTAAGCCTTCTTCAGAATGCCTTCATCTATGTAACCCTCTCTCAGAAAATCTCGTTTGCGGCGGACTTTCTCACTGAGTTTGCCATCGAGGATGATACAAGCATCACTGCTGAAGCAGCAAGTGAGAAACCCGAGACACAGAAAGACACTGCAGATGAGTCGCCCCCTGCCAGGCTGCATGCAACAAACAGAGATTCAGCTCTAGGTGGGTCGGTGACATCGGAGTCTGGCAGCACTGGTCTGTCCCCACCTGAGCAGAAGAGAAAGCAGACAAGAGGTAAGATATCAGTGTTGCGTGTAGACATCGTCGAGTTGCAACGCTTTTGGGCATAGTCAATGATGCGGATTGTGCCATAGCAGCCATTGTTGTCTATTTTTGTGGCGATTTTATATCGGGCTTTCAACAATCTACCGTAATATTGCTGACCTTTATTGACCATGTTTTTCTCTCAATATTGGAGTGCACTCTCAAAGGATGTGTTATGCTGAAAAGGTGATTAGTATATTATATAATTAAATTGCACGATATGTTGATAGGATATGCATGGAATTTTGCAGTTACACCAGGAATGCTGGTTTTAAATGTGAATACGTGTCTGTTTCTTATATCTATTATAACAACAAGCTAGTAATGTGAAAACGACGGTGGATAATACTTGTCCATTTTCAACATCAATATCAAAATCGATTATACCTTTTCCTATCGTGTAGAAACAAAAGGAAAGGTGGTTCAGCCGACTGCCAGTCTGGATGAGGTAGAAGCTATGCTTCAGTTCGCTGCAGGTGGAATGGAGGGAGAGATGCAGGTGGCAAAGAAGCCTAAACCCCTTCCTAAACCAAAGAAACCACTGGTTGCTGAAAAGCCATCTTTACCCAAGGTGCAGAAGCCAGCGACCCAAACTTCATGGGCAAAATTGATGCATCAGAGGTTAAAAGCAGTATAACAAATCTACTAATATTTCATGTGCAGTTGCTTGTTTCCCTAGAAATTAACGAATCGTGATGGTGAATATAACTTGTTTATTTATATTTTATGGTCAAACAGAAGACTGTCGTAATGAAGACACCGTCCTCGGACTCTGGCAAGCCTGTGTCCGTGAGTTCCATGGAGCCTGAAGTTGAGCAGCAGCCGACAATGAGACCCAAGCACAAGTTCATCAGCCGACAGTTATCGATGGAGGGCGGGCGTGGGTCTACGATGTCAATGATCGTTAGCCGACCTCTCTCTACCTGTTCCTCACCAGGTACGCGATAATTGCTTCAGTTGCAAAGTTGGAACTACTTGACTTACAACGTCTCTGCTACTAATTGTAATGACAGTCCACGAAAGTACAACGTCTGCACAGAAAGCAATGCTTGAGTCCTCGCATGTTTTGACTGATCATACTATTCAACCTAATATATATATATATCCTGACTGACCACTGTCTAGTGAATTTGATTGAAAAATTGATTGAAAGCAAAACTGCATTTTATTACCTGCACATGACCACCGTTTTACGTTAGGTGTCAGCCTGACACGTAGCATGAGTTATCAGACCCTGTGGAAGAAGACGGCTAGAGATGCCCATCGCAAAAACAGGGTCAGCAAGCTTCTGCAGGAATGGAAGCTCGGGGTTAGTACTTTTAATTTACTATATACCACATGGGTCGAAATCATAAGGCCGTATTTTAATCAATGCCCGTATTTTAAGGCTCGGGCCTGACATTTCGAATACTATAGCAAGCCCGATGAGCCTGTAGAAAATCCACCCCAGCATGCAAAACCGTCCCCAGCACGCCAGTGAGGATGAAAAGTTACGGCAGTATCGCTCACTTGTGTCAAGTTGTGCACAACAGCTAGGATATTAAATAATATTATAATTGTTTATTTAAAAAAAATGCTGCGGTATCCGGGGAATGATGCAGGCCTGTAATTTGCCTGGCGGGCCTGTAAATTCCCTTACCTACAGGCCCGGCTGGCCTGTAAATTTTCAAACTAATTTCTACCCCTGTACTATCATGTACTATGTACATCTGGTACTATCTACATATTTTTCGTGTTATCAACCCATCAAAAAACCGTTTCAAACGTTTTTTCAATTTTTCAGCCACTTCAGATTTTAATAGTTTTCACAGTGTTAAAGAATGTGCAACTCTGTCACCTAAAAATAATGCTACAGTGGAGAGTTGGAAACAACGCAGTACCACATTATAGCTATACCCAGAGATGAATAAGCACCATAAATTGGTATTCTTTTACAGCAAACAGAAGTGGAATATTTCAATAAGATTATGGTATGAATATGTGTCGGTGGTGGTGGCAACTAGGAATTAAATATGGGCACAATGTCATGTATATATGTATAAATTATCTATCACTATCATGAAATTTGCATTATTGTCACATATTGTGTTTGATTAATGTGGTGGTGGTTCTGCTCTGTCTGTGTGTTCTCAGGTAGATGTCTGTTAAGTACTGTATGTAAGCTGTATATTTCGCTGTGGTTTAATTTTCACGAATTTCGCGAACGCGTCCCCGACCACGAAAATAACAACACGCAAATAATTCATACCGAATAATACCGAATAATTCCGAATAATTCATAATTCACCGACCGTGAAATTAACCACTCGCGAAATTGTCCGTCAAGTCTGAATTCGCGAAAATATCTGTACGCGAAAAATACGGCTTATACATGTAACTGTGCGTGTCACTAACTGGTATTTGTTATTAACAATTTTATTATTTTACATTCCTTCTCTCACTTCAATAAAGTTCAATTGCAATATAAAATCCATAGCTAAAACCAAAGAGGAAGGGAGAGAGTAATAGAGAGGAAGAGAAAGGGTTAGGGAGAGAGAGAGATAAGAGAAAGAGAGAGAGACAAAGCTAGAGAGAGAGAGAGAGAGAGAGAGAGAGAGAGAGAGAGAGAGAGAGAGAGAGAGAGAGAGAGAGAGAGAGAGAGAGAGAGAGAGAGAGAGAGAGGGAACGCGGCG